CAGGAATCAAGGACCACTATTTGTTAAAACATTTCTCGCGATAAAGCTGCTTGCAGCAAATTGCTTGTCATGATATTTTTATGGTCTTTTCCCCCAAATTTCTGTTTAATTTGGAAGTTTCCTCTTTCATTCCAACCCTAACAAGAACTTCGAATTTTCTTTTCTATATTTATTCTTTTTTTTTCTTATTTATAGTTCCCAGATTGCTTAAACTTCTAATCATTGTCCAAAAAAATAATTATTGGTTATTTTCTTTGTAACCCCTCAGACCGATACGGATAACCCGATCCGATCTAGGTTGTCACATTAGAGCCACTAGAGCGACCCACTGTAAAAATCTCGGAAAATTTAAAATTTTATTAAAACATGTAACTCATAAATGATTTATCAGTATGCAGAAATAAAACATATTTTCAGACTCGTGTATAAAACAAAATACAATTACATGCCCCCTAATCACATGTACCATACTCTACAAGCAACGCCGGAAGAACTCCCTTATTGATGTCGTTATATGTACTGGTACAATTCCTTTAACCTGAAAAGGTGAGTAACAGATTCAGATTTGGGAAGCTCAGTAATACAATACTACCCGTTGATGCAACATGACATGCAGATAAATTGAAAGTCATATAATTTCCTTATTGAATCAGACGTATACCAATTTTTAGAATAATCTGGGGTACCACTGGTAGTTCATCAAGTAGAAGCCATGAAGATCTTAGCTCATAGAAAGCATTCATAGTATGACATTTTGAGGAGATCGAATATGATGTCTAGTGTGTTCCAACAGTACGGTAAAATCATAATAGGTACACTAATTAAGTAATAGTTCAATAAAATCTCATAAATCATAATGTAGTTTAGCTTTTTAAACTCGTAGTTTAAACTCATTGTATAAATAGTCAACCTAAAGGAATATCTTAGGGCCTGAGAGCCTACCCAAGAAAGTTTTCGAGGCCACGGGGCCTACCTGAGAATACATCTCAGGGCCTACCTGAGAATGATCTCAGGGCCGCAGAGCCTACTTAAGAGTCACATTAGGTCCATAAAACCTTTCCAGCTTGATCAGAGTTGTACTTTATAAATCAGTATCTCCAATATACAATATATACAGTGATACAATTCCATAAGCCATCACCATTAAGTCGATGCATCCATAAAACATTAACCATAGATTTCAGTGTACCATATGTTAAAACAATAAAATAATTTATTAATATATAGGGGACACACTAGAGAATCTAAGTATTTTTCAGAGGCATTTTGTAGTTATTAGTATGGATAACATGAAACTTGTGCAATTTGATCGGATTCCAGGAAAAAGGTCCTATTGAAGAGAATCGATTAATAGCCGATCTAATCAGACATTTAAAATTGATACTTTAGAATCCCACGATGATTCAGGTGCATCCGGAAGGTGTTCAAGAACTTTTATACTGAATGAATTTTTAAATTCAGATTTATGGAGAGTGATTCCATTACTCAACCTATCTGGGGTATCCAGAATCCTTTGCATATGAGTTACTTGTGTGAATCAGATATGACCGGAGTGATTTGAGCTGATAAGGGAGAAAACGCAGATTCAAAACATTTACCCTTTATATTGATCGATCAGATTATCGAACAACTCCCAAAACTGATGTCTGTTGACTGGTCAATTTGTTGCCTTTCCAGGGTATTCACTCTTTAATACTAACAATTCTTTTCCATAAATCATCTTTGTAATCATTGCTTAATAGATCTTCCAACGGTCTTTCTTTCATTTCCACGTTTCAACGATATCAGGGCGTACTTGATTCATGGTTCATGACCCATAAAGACAATTCATCATGTAAGTTCAACAGTGTTTCCAGACTCATCCAATCACTTATTTAATCCTCAGTCATTGAGGTTACTTAGTTCATTCAGCAATCAAGTCTATCTCGGTTACTTCAGAGTTTTACAGAGTAATTCAGACGTTTCTTAATTTCGGATACATATTGTTCTTCCTTTCAGTTCAATTTATATAATAAAGTCATTCTGGTATTAGTGGTTGATTTATCTCACGAATATCCACTCCTTAGTACCGAATGCGTTGTAGAGTTGAGCTGAGCTAAGTACTTCCAGAATTATCATCGATCCAAACTTGAGGAGATGAACACGCATTCAAGTGATATCTATGCCATTCAAGTATTGACATAGAATTAGGGTTGATCTACTCACTTAAATTATGTTTCATTACTTTTAAGGGTAGTACAACACCTATGTTTATTTGAATTCTTTAATTAACCCGAGACATTTACTTAGTCTAGGCCATAAGGGCATTTTGGTGTTCAATGTTTTTCCATTCATTTCAAAGCTTGAGGATATCCATTCATTCCTGGGCTTGGTGATATTCTTGAATCATTTCCATTATAGGGGTATTTTGGTCATTTTATAGATCTAGGATATTTTAATCATTTCCTTCCGTCCGATCTTATTATTTAATTCAAATTTATTATTATTTACTTCAGTCCTTTCAAACAATTCTGTCAAAAGAGCATCATTGATAAATTATTCTTCAGTTATTTACTCATAACTCAAAAACTTGCGGATTATCAAGAAATTTCTGTATAAACGTGTGACCTTAACGATGAAACTAGTAATTCATCGATTTAGGCATGACTTCTTGAGTACTTTTTCATTTATGGTCAATTCGACCACTTTTCCCTCCCAAGGGTAATTTTGTAATTTCTTAACCATATAATTTTGGTATTAAAACTCTTACAAAGATAACTATAATTTAGAGATTCCAGGGTTAATCGCTTTTCCAGATAATCTCTAAACTTTAAATTATCTCTTATAAACTTCCAGAGTCAATTCTTGTCTTTTTACAATATAAGGGTATTTTAGTAATTTTACCTAATCAAAGTATTCTCATAATTTATCGCTTAAACCGTATTCGGTTCGAGTCCATCCATAAACAAACAAGCATAATAGTCCAATCATACACATCCATGCATTTTCCATTTTCAACATGTTCTATAAACGATAAAGAGGTAGTAATGTATTACCTTGATTTACGTTTCATACTGATCAACCATATAAATTCCATTCGAATGCCCTCGATCTTGAAATCAACTTCCAATATTTTCCTCGCGATCCAGGCCATCAAAATTACTAATTCATATCCAAATAATTTCCCTCGCCATAAAATTAGCTTATTAGAATTTAAATAATTATTTGAAAACCCAATTTGCATAACTAAAACTTAATGAGCCATTAATATTTAATTACTAACATCATGGACTAAATTGATCTTATTTAAACCATTATGCCATAATTATATTAATACGGAAGCTAAAAGACAAGGTTAAGTTTTTACCAAAATTAGATAACTCAGCTTGTAATTTACCCCTTTTGCACTTTATCAACTATCCCCCAAAACCCACGTGATTTTCAAAAGTAATTCAGAATCATGCAAAGGTGGACAATAAGCTATGATTAGATGAGTCTCAAACAAATCATTCACCCCACTTTTGAATAAACTGGATATGATGTTTCATTTCAAACATTGATCAAATCCACATAACCACAGTTACTTAAACCATTGGCTTTAACGATCGTACTTCTTTGATTTATTTATTTAATATCAACCAGTAGCATTTTGGATTCTACTGTACTTGTTCTCTACAATAGGATTTCCATGTGCATATAATAAAGAAAACTATGAACATTGAACCACCGAGTATGGCTAGAAGGAAAATATGCTTTAATGGGGGAACAGAAGGCTGAAACTTACCACCACCAACAGTATTGCCCCAAGGGTTAGGAAGAGGATGTGTTTGGGGAATCTTGTCCCTAAGTCGTTTCAAAACCATGTGCAGAAGTGTTGTCAGGAGAGGCCCTAGCTTGAGAATCACCTAGATTACCCAATAAAGCTTATCCCAGTTCTCTTCGATTTCAATCCCTCCACACTTTGAAAAGTTAATGCTACAACCAAGTCGCTCAGAGACTATGTTAAGGTAGAACTCTTCATTATGAGGGATGAAAGGTTCAACAATGAATGATGTAGCAGGTCCCTTGCATCCACCTATTTCCACCTCTTTGCCAAGACGCTCCTTCACAAAAGCAATAACTTGGCAAAATCCAAATTTAAGCCAACCAAACCACTCTTCCCATGCTTTCCAAACAATATATCAGGTTTAACAACCAGTATCTGTGACGATAGCCATGGCTCATTCTCCACTAGCTAATTGAAATCGGTTGATTCCGTAAGTTGTGCAGATTTGAGTGACAAATCTTTTACTGAAAGTCTCTTGAAATGCTCTTTCAACAATCTCTTGGAATCGAACCTTCTGATCTTCTTGCGTGCCATTTCGTATGATTTTTTTTCTTTCCAATTGGTATGAGTTAAAAATAATACCAAGGCTTCGGTGGATACAAAAGTTGGCCGAAAGTAAAAGTTAAAAATAATGAATTCCAACCATGGTTGCATTATCCTTGCTTAAAAAAATATATCTCTTATTGAGTGATCATCAATTGTTTAATAAAATAATAGTATGTTAACACAATTATATTCCAATCAAACTTTATTTCATTTCACATATTTTAAGCTTAAAGAAAACTAAACCCATATTAGGGTGTGACATTCTCTGAATAAAACGCCATTATAAAAAAATATACCTTTAATGACACACGTTAATTTATGACTTGTAAAAAATGTATATCATAAAAAAAGTCATATTTTTTAAAATCTAAACGATTTATAACTTACAATAATGTATGTTATATTTAATAGTTATAATCCAAAAAAATTAGCAAATACACAAAGTATACCTTTAATTATGTGTGGTCTCTAAAAATTCGTCTTTTAATTTCTCAATTATTTTCATCCTTTCATGTTTCTAGTCCTGCCTCCATAATCAGTTCACGCACGCATGCTTCCCCATTTTTATCTTTTTTCCTTTTGCTCTTTGCATCAGTCTACTCGTTTTCTATTCCACCATTCAATTTGGGTTTGTTCCATCGTCCCTGTTATGAAAGTCGGCAGCATAATTGGCCGGAAAGGTGAACTCATCAAGAAGATGTGCGAGGAAACCGGCGCCCGTATCCGCGTTCTTGATGGTGCTGTTGGGACTCCCGATCGCATTGTAACTCTAAACCCTAATTTCTTTTTGAGTTAATAATTTCACAATTGTCGATTCTTTGGGTCTGGCATTTTCTTTCTTTAGTTGATATTTGCTCTGGAAAGAAGAAGAAGAAGAAAGAGTAAAGAGTAAAATACGATAAATTTTAACTTTAATTAATCTATATCGATGTAAATCATGCATCTTTTGATTCATGGGATTTCATTTTCAAACGAAGAATGCTTTAAAAGTAACAATCGAGTTTAATTTGATATTTGTCCGTTACGAGATTTATATAAATTTAGTAACACCTGTTGTATATTAGTCAAAGTTTTGACTTCTGATCAAATGACAAATACTTTGATCCTGTGTTTACGAAAGAAAAATAAGGGGGACTTAAGCAAATTGCTGTCAATAGATATGTCTGGGCCACAAATTTGGAGTTTTTCCTACTGATTATTCTTTGATTTCTGGAGTTAAGTTATAGTTTTCTGATTGCAGGAAAATGATGCTGATGCTAAAGCAGCTGGAGCTACATTTTGTTCTATCCGGTTGTTGGCGGCATCTACTCAAGCAATCAGTTTAATTGGAAAGCAAGGCTCCTTGATCAAGTCATTACAAGAGAGCACTGGTGCATCTGTCAGGGTATTGTCAAGCGGTATTTTTTTACATTTTAGAATATTGGTTTTTCATGAGAGGCTGGGTTCCCTTATTGCTCATTTATGCATTTAGGTTTCGGTTGGTGCACAGTAATTTGAATTGATGGATGAAATGTCTTCATTTTGTAACTTTAATGCTCTAATCCCATTTTTTGTAACTTTTTCTGATGGGATTATGCATCCTTTCTACCTATCCATAGGGTCCTTTAATCCTATTTATATAGAGGATAAATCTAACTGATTGTTCTATGATCCCCAAATTAAAAGGCTCATTTTTTTATAAATATGGACATTACATTAGAAGTTATCCTCTTCATTCCTATTCTATGCATGAAATGAACCACAAACCAATGAAGTTGTGGCTAATTTCTGCATGGCTCTATTCAGTAAATGGATAAAATATTGAAATTATGTGCTTCTTTCTTGATTATTTCATGTGTGCACATCTATGCGCATTATTTGCATACTTCATTTTTTTTATTTTGGGGGTATTTTACGTACTTAGGCTGGGGGATCTTTTTTGGAAGAGATTATTATTGAACTCTGCTGAATGTGCCCCTTTCAAAAATTAATAAAGATTTAGAGAACTTAGGGGTGCCTTTTTTTTACTTGCACGTCTTCTAAAACCTGCCTTTTGTTTGTTGTATTATGGTTATTCTTCTTCTATTTCAAAAAGAAGGGTAGATGGTTTTTAATTTGGAAGTCCATTTCTTTTCCGACAAGTCATTTTGGAAGCTTGTACCTTAATACTGAAGCATTCTCTCTTCTCTTGGTAACTTTACATGTCAATTATGAAATAGAACTTTTATTTGTTCCTGCTTCCATCCCTGTAAATTTAAGGGCTTACCTCCTTGATGGGGCACAAAGTTTTCGAATCTGCATAGCTTAAAATTCACGTTTCCGAGAGTGAAATAAGATGTATTCTAAATGGCTGATCTTATGCTGAGTTTTGTCACATTAAAGAATCAATAAGTGTATGCCTTAGGGTTCAATATAAAACCCTCAAAATATTGGTGTTATTGCCTGCTTCAATGCTTTGATAGTTCATCTGAATTTTGCTACTGTTTTAACTCGAACTGTTGTGATTGCATAGTTATGGATACAGAAGCGTTTTTTCCTTGCTTGTAAATGATGCTTTGCAATACTAAAAGTAAATAAATTTTGTTGCTTCCTTTGATTATTTTGACAATCATAGTTATATAAACTTACAATAAATCCAAGCTTTTGTAACTTATTTTTTGTTCAGAAAGTGCCCTATAAATCATAGGTTTAGGGATTCTGTAAAGTTTATGGTGAACGTGGTACTGTTTTTGCAGAGGAAACTCCACCTTATGTGGTAGCAGATGAGAGGATTGTGGAGTTGCAGGGGGAAGCTCTGAAGGTTCTTAAAGCTCTTGAAGCTGTGGTGGGGCACCTGAGGAAATTTTTGGTTGATCAAATTGTTCTTCCTCTCTTTGAAAAGACAGTAGTAAGTCTGTTTTCTACTGAACTGTTGTTATGTATCCTTCAACTGTTTCATGTTAAGTGGTGCTATCAATGGTTGCAGCACAATGTGGTAGTCACTCAAGAGCTTCAAGCAGAGACAAGGGCTGAAAGGTCATCTCTACATACTGTTTCTCAAGGTGGAATTGGAGTCGATCTTCCTGTTACTGCGAGGAGAGACTTTTTGTTCCTTGAACATGAAAAACAGTTTGAGTCACAAATCCCATCTTCTGGAATTCCATTCTATGGAGAGGATCTTCCACATTCGATAGTACATTCTAGTTCAGGGCTTCATCGATCTGCTGTTCCTATAGTTACTCAGGTTTGTTTGTGTGCACTTATTATTACTATTCTTAATTCCTCTTCCCAAATGAGAAATACTGAAGTGAAATTAGAGATTATGATGGCGAACAAGGAAGACAAAGGGGGCATATGTAGATAATATTGAAAATTAGAGGCAGAAATAGGAATAAGAAGGGATAGAAATGAAGGGGACCAATGAGAGGGAAATCTCGTGTATATAAATACATCACTGAAAATTAGAGGTCATAACATAAATAGAATAAGAGGGGAGAGAAATGAAGGCAACCAATGAGAATGAAGTATTTATATACACAAGCATAAAAACTATACATAAAATATAAATCCCCATGGTGATTCTCCATGAAATTAGTATTATTTTAGTTATTATTTAATTAGAAAAGGCGAGAAGAAAATCATTTCGAGCCTTATCGTAGGTCATTGGTGCCCTGCATGGTTTACATCACTGCTGCTTGGGTCAAAAAGTTTGAATGTAGCAATTTTTATCTTTATGACAATGCTCATCTTATATACATTTAAGTTGGCTCGGAGATTTGGCAATGATATTTTTTAGTTTAAATTAGGCTTTTGAAGTGGAACTTTCTTATGTTTGCCTAGACTTTGGTATATGTTTGTATAATTGTATATATTTGGCTACTGTATCATCATTTCTCTTATTGCATTTCTCAACCAGATTGCTCAAACTATGCAAATACCATTTTCTTATGCTGACATCATTGGGATTGGAGGAGTTAATATTGCACACATTCGTCGCACCAGTGGGGCTGTCATAACCGTGCAAGAAAGTGGGGGCTTATCTGATGAAATAATTGGCGAAATTAAAGGCACCTCAACGCAGGTTCAGTTGGCTCAACAACAGATTCAAGTAAGAAATAACCTTATTTGTTTAATTTAATTATAACTTACCTGCTTTGTATTCCTTTAATGGGTTTTTGATCTTTATGGATTTCTATATGGCTCCAAGGCTTCATTTTTTATTAAAGTACTTGTGTTTGCCGTCTTTGTCTAATGCACACCCGGACATGGGTTTGGATATATGATCTAAGAACTTTCTGAATACATGGAAATCTTGAGAAAATTTAAACTCGTATACGACACTTACCCGAGTTCGAGTTACGAAGATGGATTTATTTAGATACCAAGACTGATGATTTTTTGGTTAATGCAGGAGTTCATAAGCATTCACCAAGATCCAATTAGAAGGAGCAACTATAGAGACACGAGTTATAGGTCCCCTTTTTCGCTGGGCAGCAACACTTCTTCGCTTTCGTCCCAAACCTACGGCGGATACGGAGGATCTTCTACTGTAAGTGGCTACTCTACTTTTAGAATTTAAGAGAATCATTGTTTACCTTATTAGACTTTTCAGTCTCTTTTTTTGGAATGAATTTGTCTGGATGTTTCTCTGTTTGGGTTTGACAATTGGGTGGAGTGAGGCGGTGGGATTGACATCGGAGCGGGGTGGGGAGAAGTGGGTGAGTAGTGCAGACTTGGGTTAAGTTTCAGAAAACTTAATATATAGCTTATATGTAAAATTATTAGATCACATTAATGCTTTCTTCATAACATTTGATGTTTGTCGGAACCGTCTTTCGGTTGTGCCCCGGAATTGGGTTTCCACTTAGATTTAATGAATTGGAGTCGCCACCGATCATTTATTTTATTAAAAATGGGCTGATCGAATACCTTATTTCTTACCTGATATGCGTCTTACCAGTGATATGTCGGATTCGGGAGTTGGTTACAGTCAAGGAAGGGTTAGCACCCTTGAACTGCCCTTTCGGTACTACGTAACTTCCAGTTGTCTTTAATTAAGAAAGTTATAAGTTTAAATTAAAAGGTAAAGTGACGATCCAAATTATTTACCTTGATGGATTTGAAAACGCATCCTTAAAAAAATTACGAGCGTTAGGTAAAGTAAAATAAATTAAATTGGCTAGCTGAAATCAAGCAACAAGAAAACGATAATAAGTAAACAAAGGAAAAGGAAAATAAATAACAAAAAAATGCACAACATTAAACAAGTATAAAGAATAATAATAATCCTAATAAAATAAATACACCATAAAAAAATGAAAATCAAACAAAATTAATTAAGGAAAAAAAAGGTAATTAAATAGCATAGGAAACAGAACAATAATAGGATATGTGTACAGACAAGAAAAAAAAACAAATGAAGGAAGACATATAGAGAATAAAAGATAAAACAAGTGGAAAACTAAAAATATGTACATATATAGTACGAAGTAAATAACAAATAAAATCTAAAAAAAATAGTATTATAATAGACGTATAGATAAAATGATAATGGTATACATATGTATATATAGTGGTAAAATGCAATAGAAAAGCGATTACACAAAAATAATTAAAATACACGTGTAATAATAAAATGTTTATAAACTACTAAAAATATATACATGTAAAACGTTATATAAAACATAAAAAGGAGAAAAAAATAAGGAATATATATATATTTAATAATACGAATTAACCAAAAGAAATGAGTGAAAATACGTATATAGTAAATAAGGGACTGTTATGAAAGAAAAGACAAAAGTTGGGGCTACATTTCGAAACAAACGGGGGGGTATTAAAGTTGATTTGGGGCTGAAATAGAAGGTTTTAAAACCAACAGAAATAAAATCGTTTTTGACCCTTTACCATGCAGAAACACGCGGGTCAAAAGACCCACCGAGTCGACGCGCGGGTCGTAATAGGATCATCGGGTCTAGTATTTAACTCAAAAGCCTGTTTTAATTTCTCATTCTTTCTCATTTGAAACCGAGTTCCCCCTCATCTCTTTTTTCTCTGATTTGTTCATCCCCTGAGATGAACACCGCCGTGGGATTCCAGATTCCGGCCGGTGGCCACCGCCTCGCCGCGCTCACCGGGGGTGGTCCACCTCGAAACCCATATTTTTTAAAGCCCTTTCTCTCTACAACCCGAAAAGCAAAGTGATTTTTCAAAAAAAAAACCTCTTGGAAAGGCGTAGATCTAGAAAATAGTTTTCGGAAATAATAGCCTCACTTCGTTCATCGGCCGAAAAATGCTTTTTTGGGATCAAAAACTCAACACAACGACATGCAAGCAACCAAAACGAAGAAAGGTATGGACTTTACCTTTTGGTTCTTCTCAAAAACTCAAAAACGTTTCGGTTTTGCCTTGATAATGCTCGTGGTTTTACTTCGAAAGTTTTTGCTTTTATTTCATATGAAATCCCTAGTTACAAATGGATTTGCTTACATGAATTTATAAGACTAAAAACCTATTTTTTAGGTGTTTTAAACCGAAAATAACATTAATATAATTGTTGTGTTGGTTGTGGATGAGTGCGTCGGAGAACTCGGGTTGTTAGAGTTCCATATGCTCACGTTGGTTGGAGGCCGAGAGAATCGGAGTGATACACGGCTGTGTGGCGAGGAGTCCTCGGCTGGGACGGAATTCCTTCATTGCGGTGTTGGATGAGAGAATGGAAAGCTAAGGTTTCTGGAAACCCTAACCTGCTGCGTGTGGGCTTGCTGTTGGTTTGGACCATAGCAGATTGCTAGAAACATTTGGGCCTGTATATGATTCAAATAATAAGATTAATAATATTATATATATAATCATACAATATAACTTGTAATATTATATAATATAATAATATTAATAGCATCTGACGAAATTGAGTGTCTTCAGCTGCCCCTCTTTGCTCATTTTCGGTAACGAAAATGGAGCAAAGATTAAAAGACACGAATTTCGGCCAGATCGAATATCCCCTGTCGTAGAGTTAAAATTCGATGTAAGGCTGGTTTGTCAATTTGAACTGAAATATGAACTCCCTCATCGTGAGGTCGAGTTGAACCGGAAAATTCTGAGCACGATATCCTTCGTCGTGAAGTTGAAATCGAATTCGAAGCTTTTGGCAAGTGACTCATGGATCGCCTTCTAGCTCAAGATACTTCGTCGTGAAGGTGAAACTTGACTTGAAGATTTTGGTGTTGATGTGTCACAGATACCTCATTCGTCGTGAAGTTGGGTTAATCTGTTTGTGAAGTTAGAATCGTATACGACCCCTTCTTCGTGAAGTTGTGCCTGAGAATTGGATATCGTTCTCCGTGAAATTGAAATCCAATGTAAGTTGCGTTGTTTCAAGGCCAATATCCTTCGTTGTGAAGTTGAAATTGACTTTGAAATTGGAAAGTTGTTTGTTGACAGTCAGCCGCCCCTTCGCCGTGAAGTTGAGCTTGTGCTGTCTCGAGTCTAATATCCTTCGTTGTGAAGTTGAGATTGACTCTGAAAGTTGTTTGTTGACAATCAGCCGCCCCTTCGTCGTGAAGTTGAGCCCCGAATGGCACGATATCCTCCGTCGTGGAGTTGAAATCGTGGATGTGTGGGTATGATATCCTCCGTCGTCGTGGAGTTGAAATCGTAGATGGCCCCTTCGTCGTGAAGTTGAGCCTTGACTTGAATATCCTTCGCCGTGAAGTTGAAATCCAAGTATTGTATGTTGCGGGTAGACACGATTCCCTTCGCCGTGAAGTTGAAACCGTGTATGACCCCTTTATTGTGAAGTTTGGCTTCGAGCTAGATATCCTTCGTCGTGAAGTTGAAATCTACTCTCGAGCAAATTGTGTCGTTTTTTGAGTCAAATATCCTTCGCTGCGAAGTTGAAATTGGCTCTAGATAAAACCTGCAAAGATATGCATATATGCGATGTTTGAATGCAATGCTCTTAGGTGTGCCTAAAATGCATATGCAACATATGTTATCTTGGGACTCTGGAGAGAAATCTTGATCTCCGATTGCCTGTCGTGTTGACTCTTGATTTTGAAATCTTGAAGTTCTAATCTTTGATCTTGGATTCTTTAAATGTTTCAATCTGATGTGCACATTCTATTTGCTTCTTGATTTGGGAAATGCTTCTCGACCATCTCAAGTATGTGCATGAGCCTTGATCGGCTTTCAGATATCTGTACTTTTCAATGAATCTTTGTACAGTAATATGTGATTATCTTTTGCATAAGTAGATAAATCATTGAGTTTAAGTTCAATTTAAGATGCTCAAAAGGAATTGATTTAGAGAAAAGATTGTCTTTTATTCATGAGAAAAAAAAGAGAACAAATAATAATACATGACAAACATTCTGGAAAATGAATACGTGATGAAGTGTAAACGAATGTCTTAGATCACGATAATGTGGGAACTTCTGAGCTGAAAAGCCGTTAAGTGACTTCGAACGCAGCCTTTGCCAAAGGATCTTCGAAAATACGACAACATTATGGAGAGTGCAACCTTTCTCCGACTTATTGAGTCTGTAGAAGATTCATACGCCGGGATGCTTCCACTGTCTATATTTCTTGAACTGATATCCAAATCGCCCTTTCGGGTTTTCAATTTGGACCCATTCTTGGTTGCAAGACGCCTTTTGCGGGTTTTCATCTTGAACCCATCTTATTTTTCTTTTTTCGTTCTTTTTTCTTTTTCTCTTTTTTTTTTTTTAATTTAGGGCGCCCTTTCAGGTTTTCACCCTAAACGTTTTTCTTTTTCTTGTTTTTTTCTTTTTTCTTTTTTCGCAACCTAGGATGCCCTTTCGGGTTTTCATCCTAAGCGAAGTATTTCTTGACTGCATCCGAGTTGATGAGATGCGGCCGTTCAGGTCTGTCCATTTCAGCTAGGACAAGGGTTCCTCCAGAGAAGGCCTTTTTCACGACATAATATCTTTCCCAATTTGGCATCCATTTTCCTCGAAAATCTTTCTGGACTGGCCAAATTCTTTTTAGCACCAGATCTCCTTCGCGGAATATTCTTGAGCGCACCTTTTTGTCATGAGCTTGGATCATTCGTTTCTGATAGATTTGACCATGACAAATGGGTTCAGTCTCTTTTCATCTATCAGATTAAGCTGATCATATCTAGATTGTACCCATTCTGCATCATCTAGTTTGACTTCTGTCAAGACCCGAAGTGAAGGAACCTCTACTTCAATGGGTAGCACTGCTTCCATTCTATAAGCTAGTGAAAATGGAGTTACCCCAGTCGAGGTTCGTACTGAGGTTCGATAGGAGAACAAAGCAAAAGTCAACTTCTCATGCCAGTCTTTGTAAGTTTCAGTCGTTTTTTCCACTATCTTCTTAATGTTTTTGTTTGCTGCTTCTACTGCTCCGTTCATCTTTGGTCTATAAGCAGTAGAATTGTGATGCTTTATGTTGAACTGCTCACAAGCAGCATTCATCATTTTGTTGTTCAAGTTTGTAGCGTTATCGGTGGTGATCCTTTTAGGTAGACCATACCGACATATGATTTCTTTCTTCAGAAACTTGCACATAGTGGATGAGTGACATTGGCATATGATGCAGCCTCTACCC